ACACAGATAACTGTCAGCACACGAAGCACAGAAGCCATATAATTTTTTCGACTGGGCCTTTCATTCCATTACTCTTCAGGTCGAATACAATGGTGATTAACAAGGTAGTAAGCAAGTCTTTATAACCGGCACTTTTGGCGGGCAGAGCATTGACAAAAATAGCACTTCAAAAAAAATTTAATTAAAAAAAAACTTCGAAAATAGCAACCAGTGGCGCCAACAGCATATTTGGCGGTCAAAGCATAGACCAAATAGCTCTTTAAAAGATAGCGCTAGTGGCGCCAAGTACACAGTGAGACATTGAATATTACCAGTATCAGACAACAGTGGGGACCACGGTACTACAATGTCAAAACAGTGACAACTTTCGCAGTGCCACATACTTCTTTTGCACGCACAGTTCAGGCTTCAGCTTGGCAATGTAAGAACTAGAAGCTCGCTCGTACTCCCTAAGTGTAACTCATCCACTCTTTTGCGCTCCCCTCTCTTTATTGCTTTTTCTGTTTGGCTCACTCTACGCAGAGAAGTTAAGGATCTGACCTCACTCCGCCTGTTTAAGATCCGTGCCGCCCCTTATTTACTACGACATAAATAGCTCATTGTCCACATGTCCTTTGCGTCTCTGTGTTTTTCACTGTTTTTATTTGACATTATCTTTCTTTACGGAGTTGTTGTTGCTGTTCATTTTGCTACTCTTTCTTTTTCCCTCTACATGGCTTTGGTTTAGGGCACGGCTTGGAAAAGGCTGGTTAAGGACATGGCTGTGGTTAGGTAGTCAGGCGTAGTGGGATGGCCTAAGACCATGATTGAGAAACAGAGCAATGCACCAGGTTCAAGTCCTCCTTGGAAGTGGAAGGATTCTTCCAGCCGTGCAGCGAATTGTATTTTCGGTCTTTGGCCACTTCGCTGGTGGGCTAATCTGGAACGTTCCCATTCTCACTTCACTGCATGCATGGTTTCTCGTCTCAGCTTCTTCAGCCAGTACTTCTGTTTTCACTTCGTTTGGGTGCGAGGCACGGGGAAGTTGTTTTCCCTCTCGTTCTCCTCTTCTTGTCCTAAAGTGCACCCCCCCCCCCCCCCCCCCCCACTTGCTTCTCTCTTTATTATTATTTTGTTTAACTCTGGGTATGAATACAGGCTTATACAGCCCTGCGGATAATCCATAGAGAACAACCTAAAACAAGGCGTTGCAACCGGGCATCGACAGTGAGTAGGAGATGATGGGCAGGACAGTGCACTTGTATTTTCCTGGGGTTTTTCTTTTCTTTTTTTTTCTCTCGTTTTTTTGCGTTTTTTCACACATACAATGTTTTCATTTTTGGTGTTGTGTTCTAATCATTCGCCATGCCACTGTCAATTGTATTCTGTTTGCCCGTAAAAGAGGCCTTACCACCGTCCTGTCAGACAGTGAGTATGAGAGGAAGCGGGGAGGGGGAGCCTACAGAACATGCAAAAGAGAACTCAAAAGAATGTACTGGGTAGTAACGTTATGTTTGAAGGTTGCCACCGTCACGTGATCTATGTTTTCGTCACAGTCTAGCCATTCATCCACCTTCCATTTGAACTTCATTTGACCTCTCTGCAGCACGCATGCTTTCAGTCATTGCTTGTTCCAGGTCCGTCTCCTTCACATGCGCATTCAGGTACAAGTGGATCAGCACAGCAGGATGCATCACCAGATCACTGGTCATAGACTAAACAGTTCTTAATATTCCTCTGCTAGCTCCATGGTGGTTACATTTTTTTTGATTTTTTCTGTCTGCTTCAAAGTGTGATCGTCCTACCCCGGACTGTATTCACACAAAGTGTCCTTGGCTTGTGTCCAGGATCACAATTACACGCCATGGTTCATCAGCTCCCGCCCATCTTCTGTTGCCTCAACCATTCGTTCTATCGCGGACCTGATGACCTATCCAGTAGTCTAATATTAATTATTCTTATCTTTTTACATCTTTCCCTCGCGTGGGTCTATTGTTATTAGGCAATTGTCTGTTATAGTCACCACTATAAATAAAATCCCTTCCAATCCAGTTCACACCATTCCAGCTGACTTCCCAGCAGGAGTGACACTGACAGGCCACAATGAGTACGAGTAGATCTACTCCCTGACGAGCACGACCTTGAAGGCTTCTTTCTCCGCAAAGTGCTGCTCAGCAGCAACTGTCCCAGGACTGTCACTCACTGCAGTAATACACGGAACGCTAGCCAAGGGAGGGAGGGCGGGAGAGAGAGTGTGTGTGTATGTGTGCACACGTGCGTCTGTGCACTGGCAGAGTTCAAAAGAACAAACATAACGACGTTTTTGCTAGGATTTTCAAACTCCATTGCCACCATGTACCACCTACACATTACGAGTTTTATATTCTAAAATTGTTTCACCCTCAGGCCTGAGGATGGGCCCTATGCCCGAACATTTGGTGAAACAGCATTGAGAAATCAACGCAGCAAAGAGACCATTATACTAATGTGAGCGAGCGAGTGCTCAGACTACAATTTTGTAGGTAGTAACAATAAAAATAATAATACAGAGTATTGAAATAAATAGAAAATAAAGCAGAAATGGGAAGTAGGGACAGAGATCTGATGCTGGATCAGTGCTTGATATGCCGAGCGCAGAGCATGTCACGCATGATAGTAACTGTTATTCGTGTGTGCAAACATAGTACAGCAGTGAAGCGCAGAGCGCCTGATACTGAGAGCGGGTTTATTCACAACACCAATTGGGCCAATCGCGTGACACCATCATGAAGTAAGAGCCAAAGCGAAAAGACAACCCAAATTCGGAAATAAATAGCACACACAATTGAGATGTAAGATTTAGCACAAAACCTTACCAAGAAATCGTTTACCTCATAAAAATTGCCCACCGGCATGCAAAGGCGAACACATGATAATACTAGTGTGTGTGTGTGTGCATGGGTAAATTACTAAAATAGAGCTGCAGCATGGAGATCAGTGAGTCAGTGTATCTAGAACACTAGATCTGTGATAAACTGTGCGCACCGGGCAATGATGTGTTTAGTCTTGTAGCAAAGGTTCTGAGGAGATTGTAAAAAGCGCAACAGCAGATATCCACCACGGGTCTGTTCTCGTCCCCGGTGCTCACGCACGCGCACACACAGAGAAGCTAGAACGCAACAATGACACTCATCATGCCAGCAATAGCAAACAGCATGCACAAGCTTGCCCAACACAACACCATATTGATAACGCAAGCAAGGAGACGTCTGGAACACCCATGTGCTTCAGCGCAAGGGCTTTGAGCATGTTCGCCAGGACACGTGACATCCTCGCTGGGAGAGAGGTGTGAGGGAAGGGGAGGAGTGTGTGTGTGTGTGTGTGTGTGCTACAACTTTGCATTGGCACTCTGTAGTTGTCATGCTGCTAAGGTGAGGGAAGGGGGGGGGGGGGAGGTTGAGGGGGAGTGTGTGCGCTATAACTTTGCAGTGACATCCGGTAGTTGTCATGCTGCTAAGGTATGCAGCCCCTGTTGCTCGAGGAATGCATCTTGGTTGGGCTCACAGCCAAGGAAGTCACACAACATGTCTTTGGCATCCTGCGCAACAGCAACAAGATAGGAGAGACGAAAGAAATGAAGACATTAGTCATGGTTGCAAAATGCAGGCCAGAGATGAGAGGCTGGCAGCTCTCACCCTTCCCGGAGTCATATGAGAGGTGCAGAAGTGTGAGTGTGCGTGTGTGGTGTGTGTGTGTGTGCATTTTGTTTTCGAATGCTTTCTTCTGGAATGAGTTTTATAATGATCTGCAAAAACAAAAAAATATCTCAAATAGTATAGCACTGCCCCGCATCCTACAAAACCCCTCTGCACCAGCAATGCACAGCAATCCAGTTGCCGGAAATAGATCAGACAAGGGAAAACCAGCTACTAGTGTACTTATCCAAACCAAATACAATGAGTACACACTGCCAGCAATGACTTGGCAAAGAGGACAACAGCCAACACACTACTGGCATTAGAGAGGTTAAGATGCACGTTATTTCCGACACGACGCGCACTTTTCCGTCAAATTTGGCGTAAAACTCCACAATTCGACGTGAGCTGCAGGTCACTCGCGTTGTT